TATCTTTGAGTCCTCTATAGTTCAGCTTTCTAATATTCAATATAAACTCGAGGAAAAACTTGTAGCAGTTTGATTAGCTGTTTTAACTAGCAATCTCACATTAAGATTAAAAACAGACCCAATGAAGACAGTAGAATCTTGCCAAACTTGTTGTCATTGCTTTGAAAACAAGACGTAATGGCTATTTACTATCTTTTTAAAGAGCTTCCCAAAAATCTCTTCCTTTCATGATTGGAAATTACATGTATTATTTGTCAGTGATTCTCATATGGTGAGGGTAAAATATACCCTTAAGTCTTATGTTATCACCTTTTTTGTGTACTTAACGCAAAATAGCACAAGTACATATTATATGTCATATGCATTGGCAATGTACACTCTGATTTATGAAATCAAAATATAAGCCATTTCCGTGAATCGAGTCTTTGTGAAATGCACCATAATGGCAATGATCCCCTAAACTCTTCTGAACCCAAGAAACAACCTAATGTTTACTTAAAAACATATAAAAATCTGTGTTTCATTAATGCACACAAACAACCAATTGGTCATAGCATTACATACTGATAATATTAATGTTCTTCTTGTCAGTAATAAACTGACCTTGAAAATAAAAAAAATATAATATGAGTTGTCACATGCTATCAACAGGTTTTAGAACGGTGTTCCATTCTTACTGACTCAACATATTAGTAGTTTCTTAACATCTGTAAGAGAATAATTTATCAGTAAAGAAAAATTTACAGCAGGTTCCTGCTCCGAGAAAATATTTCAGGCTTCTAAGAATTTACTGTCCTGATTAAATCTGGACATAATTATAAATTTTGTGTATTGACATGTTTAAACTACATACACATTTGTAAGTACTAAATAACTCTGTACTATTTCAGTGTTTTTTATCTGTCTTGACCTTTTGCAGACACTCTTTCAATATAAACTGTTAGTTCATCACAAAAATCAATGTGCAACCAAAAATTAGCTAATATCAAAATGAGTGTTTGTACTAAACATGCAACCTGCTTGTGCTTGCAAGTTGTTTTAAATACAATAAAGGTAGACCTACGTTATCTAGATGGAACGATTTCTACAACAATCAGATAGACCTGGACTAAAATTCACTATTCTGATTCGATTTAATTTTATTTCAGTACGTCAAATACTAAAAATTGTATTTCCAAGAATGATCTATGCTCCTTAAATATCAATGTGCGATCAATTAATAATTATGATTTTTAGGAAAGATCAAATCTTTACAATGCATGCAACGTACAGATCCAAAATCATGCATGTTGTTCTAGTTCCTACATTCCCTGGATGAAACGATGTCAACATTAATCAGATAGACTTGGGCAAAATCCCTATTCTAATTTTAATTTTATTTGTGTTGCATCAACCACTTTCTATTTTCAATAAATATGGTATATGTTCCCTAAATGGAAGGTTAACCAAATAAACATTATCAGTTCTGGGCAAATTCGCTATTCTGATTGTGATTTATCTATCTACTTTTAATAGTAGTATCAATTTTGGTCTACGCTCCCTGTATGGAACGTTCTCCAAATAAAAACAATCGTTTATGGGCAAATTCCCATTTCTGATTGAAATTTATTGAATCACTTTAGGTTCTAGTGACAATAGTGGTCTACGCTCCCATAAGGACGTTATCCACATTAAAATAATCAGATCTGGTTAAAATACCTATTCTGATTGTAAACTTGAATAGTGATGTGTTTACTCCGTCTCGTGTAAAGACTGTAAACAATCAACTCATCCAAACTTAGTGACAATAGTGGTCTACGCTCCCATAAGGACGTTCTCCACATTAAAATAATCAGATCTGGTCATAATACCTATTCTGATTGTAATTTAATGATGTGTTTACTCCGTCTCGTGTAAAAACTGTAAACAATCAACTCATCCGAACTTTCCACTTGACCCGTTTCGTAGATTGCTCAAAACAGCTAAAATTCGGTCAGCGTGGAAGAAGAATTTAAACATACGTTTATTTTTATAAACGGAGTACTCATGTAACATGTCCGATTTTGACAGAAAAGTTCTGCCTTTCCTCGCACCGGACTAAAATTTTGAAAATGGTGACTCAACAAAGGTTAAACGATATTCCAAAAACAAATAATGTTTTTTTATAAACCATAAGGATTTTCAACAGTAGACTGTTAAAATCCTTGTCGACGAGAAACATGCGTTCACTTGAACGCAAAAATTAAAACTGAAGATATTGTGTGTTACACAGGTAAATTATGACATAGGTGAGTACATCTTATGGATGTAATTTTTAATCACCTAGTTAATTGTGATGAGAACATGTTCTGAAAGCAAACATATTCTATATAATATAAATGTAATTTCATGGTAAGTATATTTAACCAAATTCATATAAAATAGGCCCCAAAATTAAAATCTAAAAAAACGGTTAGATTCGGCATATCAAAGAACTTCAATATTTCAATTTTTGATGAAATCAAATAAGGAATTTTTGGACCGCAATGTGAACCAATTCAAAAACAGGGCCCAGAATCCAAAATCTAGTATGGAACCTTGCTGTACAATTTCACTGAGATCCATATATTTAGACTCAAGTTATTGTCCAGAAACCAAAAAAGGTTTAGGCTATAACCCTTAAAATCAATCACAACCTTCCTTTTGATGTAAGGAACCTTGTGGTACAATTTCATAGAGATCCATATCCTTATACACAAGTTATTGTCCTGAAACAAGAAAAATGCTTGTTTATGGCCCCTAATTACTAAACAGTTCGACCCCTAAAATCAATCCCAATCTTCCTTTTGTGGTATGGAACCATGTGGTACATAAGATCCATACACTTATTCTCAAGTTACAGTCTGGAAAACAAATATCTTCAAACAAAGATGACATCAACTTCATACCATTATACGACTGCAAAAATTTTGCGGTCGTACAAAAATTTGTGTAAATGGGATAAATCTGACAAAAAGTCAATTGATTCCTATTTAAATAAATGTTTGTATATATTCGCATATCATATTCGAATATAATTTAGAAATAAATATAAGAGTAAGTAATATGCCCATTTCTAGGATTAAAACAAAACTCAAGTACTCGCAAAGGATTTTGTGTTTGTACCAGCTGACAAAGCAGCCAACAATGTGGTGGTGGTATGACATAAATACTATACAGAAGTCCTTAAGAATGAAATTATGCATTCAACTACATTCAAGGCCGTGCGCTCCACAGAGTCAAATAGTAAATAATCATGTCACTACCACATCTAAGCTTAAGGCCTCCTCTGAACATTAAAGGTCCCCAACTATGTATTGGTTAACTTATCTACACAAAAAACCCGTAAAATTCGGTTTCATCTCAGCGTCTTGTAAGTGTTCTACTACATTTTGTACAAATCTTTCAATGCTTTTAACTAGTTCCTTAACCAATTATGCCCCTTTAATAGCAGATTTGTTCCTGTACTGTTATAAATCACAATTTATGGCCAAACTCAGTAAAAACCCGTCTAAATTCCATTTAATTAATAAATTCAACAATACTTACCATTATCTTGATGATATTTTTTCTTTAAATAATCAAGAATTCTCTAAATATGCTTACAAAATTTACCCAAAGGAACTTTCTTTAAATAAATCAAATATAAACTGTAATAACCATCCTTTCCTAGATTTAGATATTGCAGTTATTTACTAGAAACTCTACACAAAAATCTTTGACAAAAGGGACAATTTTTCTTTCACTATTGTCAATTTTCCTTTTTTGGATGGTGATGTTCCTTTTGCATCGTCTTACAGTGTTTATATATCCCAATTTGTTCACTATGCCTGTTTCTGTAGAGACTTTTGGATTTCAATGAGCCTAATCTATGTATTAATGGTAAATTATAAAGCAGGGATTTAATTACCACAAATTACTTAAAACCTTTACTAAATTCTTCCACAGATACTAAGATTTGGTTTGGAAGTTTAGCTGTATCTGTAGAAATCTTATTTCAAATGGGATAGCACATCCTATTTTTTTTTGGAGAAGTTGTTTACCGAGCTCTGAAATTTAGATACGATCCAGGTAAACTTATTAATCCTTTAAATAAACTTATTCTAAAAGGTTACCAATTCAACACTGTAATTAGATCTTTAAATATTGTTTTTATTGGTATAAATATTGATTTGTTATCAGTAAATTTAAACCAATTTATTATTAATATTAAACACATATGCACTTTCAGGTTTCTACAATCTGTTGATACCTATATTTTAGGTCATGTTTTTCTCTGACTGTTAATGAGGTCTTTACACTAAATTCCAATGTATGTTGAATGTGTACTGATTGATATTTTAGTCTTAGATACATAATTTTTTCATTAGTTGCTATTGGCTTTGAACTAGCTGCCAATAACTGCAAGTTCTCTCAGATCTGTACTTTGGGTCTTTTTTGTTGTGAGGGATGTATAAATACTCTGCCATGTCAGGTCTGTGTTTTTCTTAGATGTTTTTCTGCTTTGTATGGATCTGATTAGTTAAGCCCTTTTTGACTAATTTTTAAAGTTTGTTATGTTGTAGCATTACACCGTTGTCCCGAGTTAAGGGGAGAGTTGGTACCTTCAAACATGTTTTATCCCGCCACATTCCATATGTGCCTGTCCAAAGTCAGGAGCCTGTAGTTCAGTGGTTGTCGTTGGTTCATATCTGTCATATTTGTTTTTCATATCTTGTTTTGTTATAAATTGGGGCATTAGTTTTCTCAATTAAATTGTTTCATATTTTTCATGGCAGGGCCTTTTATAGCTGACGATACAGTATGGGTTGCCTTTTATAGCCCACTATACAGTATGGGTTTTTCTCATTGTTGAAGTCCATACGGTTGCCTATAATTGCTTACAACCACTTCATTTGAACTTTGGTGGATAGTTGTCTCATTGGCAATCATACCACATCTCCTTATTTCTATATCAGTAACTATATGTCAAATGATGAATATTAAGTAATCAGAGTAATTACCTTGGAATATCTATTTCTTTCAAATGCTGAATAGGGTCAGACCAATCAATATCAAAACTACCTGTTGATGATAGATGACGCCTTCTTCCAAGCTCGGTAGGAGTAACTGACCTTTTTACAGAAGAAAAAGCAATATTAATTAAAAGCCAATATTCATTAGTATGTATGTTTAAATTGCTTTTACTTTAAAAAATAAAATGCTCCGCTGGGCGCAGCTTGATACGACCGCAGAGGTCGAACCCTGGACAGTTGGGGCAGGTATGAACACAACATTCAAGCTTGATACAGCTCTGAATTTGGATTGTGATTAAATATTTGACACAGCATAGGTTTCTGACACAGAATGAATGTGGTCTAAGAACTTATTTTGTTAAAATCAAACTAAGTTTAATTTTGGACCCTTTGGACCTTAATGTAGACCAATTTGAAAACGGGACCAAAAATTAAGAATCTAAATACACGGTTAGATTCAGCATATCAAAGAACTCCAATATTTCAATTTTTGATGAAATCAAACCTTATCATTATTATTTGCTTTTATCTTTTGTATATAAATAAAAAATAACCAACTTAAAATGGAAAATTTTAAAGAAAAAAAAAAGGAAAAAAAGGAAACCCCCCCCCCTAATTTTTTGAACCCCCTTAAGATTCATCACCCCCAAACTCAATCCCAGCATTCCCTTTGTGGTATGGTACCTTGCAGTACAATTTCAGAGAGATCCATGCACTTGAACACAAATTATTGTCTGGAAACTGTAAAAATGCTTGTTTTTGGCCCCTTTTTGGCCCAATATTCCAAAACATTTAAAACAAGGAATTATTTGAATCTGGAATAATTTTGAATTCTGGAAAATTGATGAGAAATATATGATGAAAACTAACCCAACTAAATAGGGTTAGCCATGCGCACATGGCTAAGGTGGGTTAGTTAGTTCATACTGAAATGATAGTGAAAGTAAAATTAACCTTAGCCATGCACGCATGGCTAACCCTATTTAGTTGGGTTAGTTTTCATCATACATTTCTAATCAATTTTCCAGAATTCAAAATTATTCCAGATTCAAATAATTCCTTGTTCTAAGGCATTTACCCCCAAACTCAAACCAAGCTTTCCCTTTGTGATATGGAACCTTGTAGTACAATTTCATAAAGATTCATACACTTACACACAAGTTATTGTCCTGAAACTAGAAAAATGTTTTTTTTTGCCCCTATTTGGCCCCTAATTCCTTAAATTTTGAGGCAATTACCCCCAAAATCAATCCAAGCCTTCCCTTTGTGGTATGGTACCTTGCAGTACAATTTCAGAGAGATCCATACACTTGAACACAAGTTATTGTCTGGAAACTAGAATAAACAGCTGCGGCATGAGCGCATGATACGCCCTTCGTCTTGTGTGTGAATTTTTATGCAATAAGCATAAATAGTTTCTGACATACGGCGTGACATGCGAAAACCCCCTTTTTTTTTTTTACAAAAAACTCAATTTTTTCTTTCTAAAAACCAATTACCTTTAACAAAGGCACATAAAAGAAATAGAATAAAACATATAATGTTGAAATAATAAGGGACATTACTCATGAAATAAACAGCTGCGCCATGAGCGCATGATATGCCCTACGTCTTGTGTGTGAATTTTTATGCAATAAGCATAAATAGTTTCTGACATACGGCGTGACATGCGAAAACCCCCTTTTTTTTTTAACAAAAAACTCAATATCTCAAAAATAAAATTTTGAATCAAAACCAAAAGGTATACAGATCTTAAGATTAATATAACTAAGAAGTGTGTAAAATTTTAAGCAATAATCATAAATCGTTTTTGAGATACGGCGCGACATGTGAAAAACCCCCTTCAAAAAAACAAAAAATCAATATCTCAAAAATAAAATTTTGAATCATCTTTGAAATCGTTTTTGAGATACTGCGCGACATGTGAAAAACCCCACCCCCTTTTTTTACAAAATACTCAATAACTCAAAAATAAAATTTTGAATCATCACCAAAAAGTATACAGATGTTAAGGTTAATATAACTAAGAAGTGTGCAAAGTTTTAAGCAATAATCATAAACTGTTTTTGAGATACGGCGCGACATGTGAAAAACCCCTCTCCCCTTTTTAACAAAATACTCAATATCTCTAAAATAAAATTTTGAATCATCACCAAAAAGTATACAGATCTTAAGATTAATATAACTAAGAAGTGTGTAAAGTTTTAAGCAATAATCATAAATTGTTTTTGAGATACGGCGCGACATGTGAAAAAAAACAAACACCTGTTTTAGTTACTAAGTCCCGTAACTCAAAAAGTTTTAATCTTATTTTCACCAAAAAGTATACAGATCGTTTGACCATCATAAGAAACAACTATGTTAAGTTTCATGAAATTTGGATAAGTCATTCTCAAGTTACGGTGCGACATGTTTACGCCGGACAGACAGAAGGACAGACAGACACCGGACATTTGTTTAACATAATACGTCCTGTCAAAAATTGACTGGCGTATAAAAATGCTTCTTTTTGGCCCCCTATTCCTAAATGTTTTGGGCAATTACCCCCAACCTCAATATCAGCTTTCCTTTTGTGATATGGAATCTTGTAGTACAATTTCAGAAAGATCCATACACTTACACACAAGTTATTGTCATGAAACTAGAAAAATGCTTGTTTTTTGCCCCTTTTTTGGCCCCTAATTCCTAAAATTTTGAGGCAATTACCCCCAAAATCAATCCCAGCATTTCCTTTGTGATATGGAACCTTGTGGTACAATGTCAGAGAGATCCATACACTAACACACAAGTTATTGTCTGGAAGTTACAAAAATGCTTATTTTTGGCCCCTAATTCCTTAACTGTTGGTACCATAACCCCCAAAATCAATCCCAACCTTCCTTTTGTGGTATTGAACCTTATGGCAAAATTTCATAGAGATCCATTCACTTAAACTAAAGTTATTGTGCGAAAACCAATGTGTCTTCGGACAAAGACGACGACGCCAACATCATACCAATACCTCTATAAACTCTTCCAAAATATGAAATTACAGTAGATATATTCTTGTACACCTAAGTTTTAAAATTCACACTAATAAGTGACTTAATAAAACACTGCTAATTTTGAGTATACTGCAGCTGCTATTCCTGCCTTGGCTCATAATTTATCTAAGTTTGTCAATTTCTACTCATTGAAATAACATAAATCTGTCAGCAAAATATTCTATGAACCAAGAAAATATATAGTATTTGAAATATCAGGTTAGAAAATGGCACATGTAACATACCTGCATCTACCAGGTGCCAATGAGCTAGGTCTGTTTGCTTTGTGACTTTTATCTGAACTTATCTGTCGTGTAAATGATGAAATTCTTGGACGGACTCCATTTCCAATAGAATTCAACCTAGTGGCGTGAATGAATTCCAACTCAGACTGACTTCCATACAAATCTTCTTTTTTGTTGGTGTCAGCAATATTTCCAGATGACTTAGAGTGCCCACAAGCCAATGGATGCTGTAGCACTCGGTCTTTGACATCAACCTCATCAATCGTCTTTGTATGGATATTATCATCATCAAAATATTCGTTAAAAAGGCTATTACTGCCAACCTTTAGAAAATTATTTCTGATTTGTGCTGTGGTTAATTTTGGTCTATTAGTATTATTTTCAGAAATTTGGGAACTAATTTTATTACTTTCGTTAGACAATGTTTCTGACAGTAATGATTTCTTTCTAGGGCTTATAACCTTGTTTTCTTCTTCACTTTTTATAGAGATAATATCTTCACTATGGCTATCAGACCAATCTTTAGATATTAAAGGCAAAGTCAGATCAGAATGCTTCTTTGTATCTACTACAGCTCTAGACACTAACTGGACATTTTCAACAGCAACATTTTCTTTGATCTCAGAACCAGATAGCCTACAAGGCTTATACAATAAAGTTTCTTCAAAGTTTCCACTGCTTAGAATAGAATCATAACCCTCATCCTCTGTTTGATGACCAACAGAGTCCAAACTATCAAGCATGCTTGACCTTGATATTCTTTTATTTTCAGTGCGATCAGATTGACTAGAGCCCACTTTCATTTCATCTGAGCAATATGAGGACCTATCTATTCTCTTTTCATTTTGATTTATCTGACTAGAATCTACTTTATTTCCAGTTTCATTATGAGATAAACAGTTTTCAAGTTGAAGATCATCATTTTCAACATAAAAAACACTCTTTCCAGTTACTGTTATAGGAAATGGTATATCAGATTCTACTGACTCTATTGATTTATTTTTTGTATCATAATGATCAAAACTAAAAGAGTGTCTTAGTTCATTTTTACTTCCTGCTTCTTTGGTTCTAACACTAACTGTTATATCATTGGAACAAACACTACATGCATCTTCATTACCAAAAGGAATAGAACAGTTTGAATTGCAGTCTTCTTTAATTGGGGTGATGTCCTGTTTTTCACTATCATCTAAATTCATATCTTCCATACATTTCATCATGGAGGAAAGATCTGTATTTTCTTGGACATCACTACACCTAATGAAGTATGTTAGGATGTACAAAAGCTTTTTCACAAGATCTGCCTTTTTGCCTACTATCACTGTCCTTGCTAATTTTAGTGGATATCCTATTGCACCATATAAATCTCTGAAAAAAAAAAAACATTGTTTTATTAAAGTCCACATCAGTTTTTAGCAAGGTAGGTTCCTGTGTTGCAGATTTCAATAGTTATATTTGGCAGTGACAATAAACCACAGTTTTGCCATAAAAAAGTACTCCCTCATTTGTGGATCAACAAAATATTTGATGTGGACCTTAAACTCAGTTTCTACTCGTTTTTTAGAAGTTGATATATGATTGCAGAGATGATTAATTTCAAACTTTTTCACAAGAATTTTAATCAAAAATGAGGACATCCTTATTTGTACTTTTTCTGTAAAAATCAAGATTGATTAAGGAAGAACGACTGTCATCTCATGATTTAATTGGAATATGGCACTTGTTGACAGGTGCAGGCCAATAAATTAATTCTTTTTATGTCCAAATATGACCCTATCACCCTTATAAAAAACGTGGTATGATTGCCAATGAGACAACTATACACAAAAGTTCAAATGAAGTGTATGTAAGCTATTATAGGTACCTGTACAGCTATTAACAATGAGAAAAACCCATACCATATAGTCAGCTGTAACATGACATGGCACCGACATGAAAATTTGAAACAATTCAATTGAGAAAATTAACATCCTAATTTATAACAAAACAATTTACAAATAAACTGCTTCGCCGAGTGCAGCTGGATACGACCGCAGAGGTCCAACCCTGAACAGTTGGGGCAAGAATGAACACAATATTCAAGCTTGATACAGATCTGAATTTGGATTGTAATTAAATATTTGACACATTATAGGTTTCTGACACAGAATGAATGTAGTCAAAGAACTTGAAATTGGTTATATGATTTGAATTTATATTCAATTGAAGATTTCTTGCTGTTGTGCAATACACTGTGCTGTTGCGCAATATTTAGTAAATCTGTTTTCCGACTATATACAAAGAATTAGCAAAATAAATTGTGACCCCTAATTTTTCTTTGGAAAATTGACAATTTCTTAAATCTTGAGGAAAAAAATTGCCCCCCCTCCCCCTAAAAAAAAAAGATTTGAAGAAATTTTCTTTTTGTAAAATGTGGTACAATTTAAGAGACATCAATACACTTAAACACAAGTTATTTTCTGAAAACTAGAAAAATGCTTGTTTCAGACCCTTTTTGGCCTCTAATTCCTGAACAGTTTAGGCAACTACCCCCAAAACGAATCCCAACCTTCTACTTGTGGTATTGAACCTTGTGGTACAATTTCAGAGCAATCAAAATACACAAGTTAATGTCCTGAAACTAGAATAAAATGCTCCGCTGGGCGCAGCTTGATACGACTGCAGAGTTCGAACCCTGAACAGGGGCAAGTATGGACACAACATTCAAGCTTGATACAGCACTGGATTTGTGATTAAATATTTGACACAGCATAGGTTTCTGACACAGAATGAATGTGGTCTAAGAACTTAAAAAAATTTAATTTACCTATTCAAACCATATCATTATTATTTGCTTTTATATATAAATCAGAAATAACCAATTTAAAATGGAAAACTTTCAAGGAAAAAAAAGGAAAAAAAGTTAAAAAAAATCCCTCCCCCAAATTTTTTGAACTCCCTTATGATTCATCACCCCCAAACTCAATCCCAGCCTTCCCTTTGTGGTATGGTACCTTGCAGTACAATTTCAGAGAGATCCATACACTTGATCACAATTTATTGTCGGGAAACTAGAAAAATGCTTGTTTTTAGGCCCCTTTTTGGCCCCAAATTCCTAAACGTTTAGGGCAATTACCCCCAAACTCAAACCAAGCTTTCCCTTTGTGATATGGAACCTTGTAGTACAATTTCATAAAGATCCATACACTAACACACAAGTTATTATCATGAAACTAGAAAAATGCTTGTTTTTTACCCCTTTTTTGCCCCTAATCCTAAAATTTTGAGGCAATTACCCCCAAAATCGATCCCAGCCTTTCCTTTGTGGTATGGTACCTTGCAGTACAATTTCAGAGAGATCCATACACTTGAACACAAGTTATTGTCTGGAAACTAGAAAAATGCTTATTTTTGGCCCCTTTTTGGTCCCTTATTCCTAAACATTTTGGGGAATAACCCCCAAACTCAATTCCAGCTTTCCCTTCGTGATATGGAACCTTGTAGTACAATTTCAGAAAGATCCATATACTTACACACAAGTTATTATCATGAAACTAGAAAAATGCTTGTTTTTTGCCGTTTTTTTGGCCCCTAATTCCTAAAATTTTGAGGCAATTACCCCCAAAATCAATCCCAGCATTCCCTTTGTGATGTGGAACCGTGTGGTACAATGTCAGAGAGATCCATACACTAACACACAAGTTATGTCTGGAAGTTACAAAAATGCTTATTTTTGGCCCCTAATTCCTTAACTGTTTGTACCATAACCCACAAAATCAATCCCAACCTTCCTTTTGTGGTATTGAACCTTATGGTAAAATTTCATAGAGATCCATTCACTTAAACTAAAGTTAGAGTGTGAAAACCAATGTGTCTTCAGACGACGACGACGACGCCAACCTCATACCAATATACCAAATTTTTTTTGCGGTTGTATAAAAATGCTTGTTTTGACCCCCATTTTGGCCCAGTATTCCTAAACAGTTGGGACCATCACTCCCAAAAACAATCCCAACCTTCCTTTTGTGGTATTGAACCTTTTTGTTAAATTAGAGATCCATACACTTAATCTACAGTTATTGTCCAGAAACCAAATGTCTTCGGACAACGACGACGTGATAGCTATATATGACTGCAAAATATAAAAGCAAGTACTGTGGATGCATTTATTTTCATGGGTCTCAATTTTCGTGAATACAGAAAACAAGATGCTCATGAGAGCCTGATATCGCTCACCTGCAATTTCAGTTTTGGGCATTTGACTTATTTGTAGATCTTACTTTGCTGATCAATTTTGTCATTTACACTTTCTCTCTTTCTATAATAATATTAAATATAATACATAACCCAAAACTGTAAAATTTCCTAAAAATTAACTATTTCTGGACAGTAACCGAACCATTAGTTGTCCTATTGGTCTGAAGATTACTTGACAGGTAGATCTTAACCTGTTTAACACTTGTGTCAGTTTTGCTCTTACTGCTTTAGTTTTTGAGATGAAAGCCAAAAACTTCGTTTGACCCTATGTTCTACTTTTAGAAACTGCCGCCATGTTTTTGAATGGATCAAATCCCCGAATACAATCTATAAATAAATACCCTAAGGAACATTCGATTAAAGTTTTTTTAAGTATTTTGTAAAGTAGTTTAACAGAAGAAAATTTTTTAAAAAGTAATTAGACTTTCACAAAAAAGTTAAAAAAAAAACATTTAATGGGCAATAACTCCTTATGGGGTCAATTGACTATTTTGATCATGTTGACTTCTTTGTAGATCTTACTTAGCTAAGCCTTTATTGCCATTTATACTTTCTCTCTATTATAATATTAAAGAAAATAACCAAAAACAGATAATTTAATAAAAACAAGCATTCTGAGAGTATTGCATGGCAATACATAGTCCCCTACCAGTTAAAAATTCATTGTATTGGTACAAAATGCTAACTTGATCTATAACTTGTCATGGTGTAAACTTTATAACAAATACCAAGTCAATATCTTCAAGCATGACGAAAATAAGTGTTGAAAACTGATTATTAAAGTGAATTTTCTAAGTCCAAGGACCATAACTCTGCACAAAATCATCAGACCGGAACAAAATTTGAACTTTATCTGTAACTTGTCATGATAAAACTATATACCAATTATCAAATCAATATCTTCAAGCATGACGAAAACAAGGGGGGAAAACTGATTATTTGAGTGAATTTTCCGAGTCCAAGGACCATATATAACTCTGCACAAAATCATCAGACCGGAACAAAATTCCAACTTGATCTGTAAATTGTCATGATATAACTATATACTAAATATCAAATCAATATCTTCAAGCAAGAAGAAAATAAAATGCTTCGCTGAGCGCAGCCTGATACGACCGCAGAGGTCGAACCCTGAACAGTTGGGGCAAATTTGGACACAATATTCAAGCTTGATACTGTCTGAATTTGGATTGTGATCAAATTTTTGACATAATATAGGTTTCTGACACAAAATAAATGTGGTCAAAGATCGTATAAATCCATTGTGCAATAATGTGCAATTGAAGATTTCTTCTTGAAACTTTTCAAAAATTCGAAATTTGAAAAATTTGAAAAAAAAATATGTATCCCTTAAAAAAAATTGGGAAAAAAATCCCCCCCCCTCCAAACTTTTTGAAACCCCCCCTTGGAGCAATAACCCCAAAACTCAATCCCAGCCTTTCCTTTGTAGTATGGAACCTTGTTGTACAATTTCAGAGAGATCCATACACTTACACACAAGTTATTGTCTGGAAACTAGAATAAACTGCTTCGCTGAGCGCAGTTAGATACGCCCGCAGAGGTCCAACCCTGAACAGTTGGGGCAAAAATGGACACAATATTCAAGCTTGATTCAGGTCTGAATTTGGATTGTAATTAAATATTTGACATATTATAGGTTTCTGAATAAATGTAGTCAAAGAACTTGAAATTGGTTATATGAATTGAATTTATATTCAATTAAAGATTTCTTGCTGTTGTGCAATACTTAGTATAACTGTTGTCAGACTATAAACAAATAAAGTTCAATTAATTCTCAATGTCATATTAGAAATTTGAAAATAAAAAGGGAGCTTACATCAATAGATATAAACAATTCACCAAAGTTTCCTGAGAATTGATGACAGCATTTTTGAGTTATTGTCCAAAACTGGAAAATCACCCCTTTTTTTAATAATAAAACTCAATAACTCAGAAATGTAAAATTTAAATTTATAAAATTCTAAAAGGAGCTTACATCAATACATGCAAACAATTCACCAAAGTTTCATAAGAATTGCTGAAAGCATTTTTGAGTTTTGTCCGAAAACTGGAAAATCCCCCCTTTTTTTATGAATAAAACCCTGTAACTTGGAAACGTAACATCTAAAATTTATAAAAATCGAAAGGGAGCTCATGTCAAAAGATATAAACAATTCACCACAATTTCTTGCAAGTTGGTGAAAGCATTCTTGACTTATTGTCCGAAAACTGGAAAATCCCCCTTTTTTTAATGAATAAAACCCCATAACTCGGAAACATAAAATCTAAATTTTATAAAAAATGAAAGGGAGCTCACGTCAATAGATATAAACAATTCACCAAAGTTTTATGCAAATTGGTGAAAGCATTTTTGAGTTAATGTCCGACATGTTGACAACGGACAGACGGACGGACGGACAGAGGTATACCATAATACGTCCCGTAAACGGGCGTATAAAAATGTTTGTTTTTGGCCCTTTTTTTGCGGGGGTCAAAATCCAAAAACTTAATACACGGTTAGATTCAGCATATTAAAGAACCCCAAGAATTCAAGAATAAAACCCCATTGAAATTGATCAAGAAATAAGCAATTTATACGAAGTATCTTCTTTTGCACAATACTGTGCAATTGAATATTTCTTGCTATTGTGCAATACTGTACAATTGACAATTTCTTGCAATTGCGCAATATTGTGCTATTGGATATTTCTTGCTATTGCGCAATACTGTGCAATTGAAGATTTCTTGCTATTGCACAATACTGTGCAATTGAAGATTTCTTGCTATTGCGCAATACTGTGCAATTGAAGATTTCTTGCTATTGTGCAATACTGTGCAATTGAAAATTTCTTGCTATTGCACAATACTTATTATATAATAATTTACACATCCTGTTTGGTGTGCATCTCCTACCATATCATTATTATTTGCTTTTAAATATAAAACTGAAATAACCAACTTAAAATGGAAAATTTTAAAAGAAAAAAAAAAGAAAAAAAAACAAAAAATCCCCCCCCCCCCAAGTTTTTTGAACCCCCTTATGATTCATCACCCCCAAACTCAATCCCAGCCTTCCCTTTGTGGTATGGTACCTTGCAGTATAATTTCAGAGAGATCCATACACTTGAACACAAGTTATTGTCTGGAAAATAGAAAAATGCTTATTTTTGGCCCCTTTTTGGCCCCTTATTCCTAAACGTTTTGGGCAATTACCCCCAAACTCAATTCCAGCTTTCCCTTTGTGATATGGAACCTTGTAGTACAATTTCAGAAAGATCCATACACTTACACACAAGTAATTATCATGAAACTAGAAAAATGCTTGTTTTTTGCCCCTTTTTTTGCCCCTAATTCCTAATATTTTGAGGCAATTACCCCCAAAATCTATCCCAGCATTCCCTGTGTGATATGGAACCTTGTGGTACAATTTCAGAGAGATCCATACACTTGAACACAAGTTATTGTCTGGAAACTAGAAAAATGCTTATTTTTGGCCCCTTTTTGGCCCCTTATTCCTAAACGTTTTGGACAATTACCATCAAACTCAGTTCCAGCTTTCCCTTTGTGATATGGAACCTTGTAGTACAATTTCAGAAAGACCTATACACTTACACACAAGTTATTGTCATGAAACTAGAAAAATGCTTGTTTTTTGCCCCTTTTTTGGCCCCTAATTCCTAATATTTTGAGGCAATTACCCCCAAAATCAATCCCAGCATTCCCTGTGTGATATGAAACCTTGTGGTACAATGTCAGAGAGATCCATACACTAACACACAAGTTATGTCTGGAAGTTACAAAAATGCTTATTTTTGGCCCCTTTTTGGCCCCTAATTCCTTAACTGTTGGTACCATAACCACCAAAACCAATCCCAACCTTCCTTTTGTGGTATTGAACCTTATGGTAAAATTTCATAGAGATCCATTCACTTAAACTAAAGTTAGAGTGCGAAAACCAATGTGTCTTCGGACGACGACGACGACGCCAACGTCATACCAATATACGACCGCAAAAAAATGTATAAAAACATATGTTGAAACTTCTCAAACCCACTAATGTTTTTCAACTGTTTCAATTCATGTATTGCATTAGAAAACATACATAGGGAGTTTTAGAATGACAGACCAGGAATCTGCTGAAAAAAAGACTTTGGCTTGATCTGGGCAGTGTCTCTGATCTAGGTCACAAAGATGGCTATATGCTATAGCATGAAAGCAATTGCTTTAAAAACCTTGTTTTGAGTTGTTTTTACAAATTACCCGGTATGGCTTTTTCGTGGTTCTTTTAAATGAAAAAAGAACATTTGCTATATTATGCATTACAATGTATATTTCAGTGAATTACATTAAATTTTGAAGGAACTTTACCATTATTTTTTCCAATAGGACAGAATTTGGCTTGTATTGCCCCTACTCCTTTGTTTGGATTATGGTAGCCTGAAATTTGGGTTCTGTTTAGAAAATCTTTAACTGTATAAATTTTACAAAGCACCTTTTGAAATACATACCCTAACTGAGCCCACATTGGATTGTAAGGATGTGACTTAGCAAGTGCATCTACCCATTTGGCAGAGTGATTGTGAAGATATGTTTTTGATGTTGTAGCACCTGCAGGTGTCACAGTTGCAACCCAGGCTAAATGGTGTGTTAGCACTGCTGTGACTAGAGTACTTATAAAACTGAAATAAAGATAAAATACAATTTATAAATCATAACAATTTAAACAAAATAGTATAAAACAATACTTTTTGTCAAATTGAACAAAATGTTTGTGAGGCAATTTAGTTAATTTGAAAAATCATTGTTTTTACAACTTAAGTGTGTACAAAGTACAATGAATTAAAGTGCACCTTCTTTTTATGTGGATCATTAAATTCATTCATTATTTATAATGTGTGTATACATGTTATATAAAATGTTGTATATTGAATTATATATATACATATATTATTCTGGAGTAAAATATCCCAGCTAATCCTTGCAATTTTATTGGTTACCATGACAGGGTTTATGAGCTCATATCCCAAGTGAGCAAAAATCGATGACCGGAATGATTATATTAATGTTGAAATATAAGGACACTCCAATATAATATAATTGTTATTCGTGGTTCACAGGGAATATGGTCTCATATTTCATTGTAAGAAATAGTGAATAGACTGATATATTGTTTATCATTTAATGTAATTATAGAATAAAAACAAGAATGTGTCCATAATATACAGATGCCCCACTCGCACTATCATTTTCTATGTTCAGTGGACCGTGAAATTGGAGTCAAAACTCTAATTTGGCATTCAAATTATCATATCATAGGGACATGTGTACTAAGTTTCAAGTTGATTGGACTTCAACTTCATCAAAAACTATTCGACCAAATACTTTAACCTGAAGTGGGACAGACGGACGGACGGACAAACAAAAGGATGCACAGACCAGAAAACATAATGCCCCTACTACTATCGTAGGTGGGGCATAACAAGCATAATGAATAATAAATTTCTTCAGATTATCAAGTTGCAGTTAATATTCCTGTATTCACTTTACAAGTTTGAAAAGTAATTCAATTTGGTCGATAATTGTTGTACTCATGTTATATGGTATGAAATTATGTTCCGTTTAACCATTAACAGTCTCATCTTGTACTCGTTTTAAATGGGGGTGCAGATTGCATAAGCAATATAACATGTATAAGCATGTGCTAGACTTGTTAAACATTTTTCTTTGTAATTGAATTCAAAATTATTTTCTAATCTGAATTTTCATTAGCATTTGCTTTAAAGTAATTAAATAATGCAATCAATCGTCTGTCTTGATCAATGTTTTATCCTGTAAAGTGTGTTGATCTATCTGTACAAGTGATTAGCAATCATTGGAAATATTTGTAAGCACCACGCTTCAATCATAGCGCAGTTCATCTGATGATAGCGGAGGACAATTTAACAATGGCGAGGATCATTTGTCAATGGCAGAAGATAATTTAATGATGGTGGTGCGACATTATTAAACAGTTCAAGAAAATTCCAGAAGAATTCACAGTTTGCTAGGCAAATTTTGAAGCACACATAAATTGTGTTTAGTTACATCTCTGTTAAAATTTGTTCTTTTTCACAATTAAAATATTATGATTGTATTGTGCTTGCAAATTCTTGGTTTTGAACACTTCTTCTTTAATTGGTACAAATGTGCATGTTAGGTTATGCCAAAATATGCAATTGTAGTTGTGACCCTTTGTTTACAATAGTTGGTGCCATCTCCAACATTTTGTTAAGTTTGAAGGGCAACTTTCCTGAAAATCAGTCTCTGAAATCAAAGAACAGAAATAACCACAAAATGCCAAAGTTATATATACTGTTATAAGAAAATAATACTTACAAATTGTTATTTTTATTTTCATGTTTTGTAACTAATGACATGAAATCCTTCATAAAATTTTCACATAAGGGATAACGATAGCTTGCATGTGACATCATATTTAACCACACTGGTTCAGATAATCTTGGTGTAGTGTAGAGATCTATGACATCATCTCTAAATATTTCTAAGGCCTAAAATATTTGAAAGACATTTCAATTTGTTTTTTTAATAACTACATAGTATATACTTCATTATTAAACCATTGCCACTATAAATATTAAATTTTAACAAATCTGTATAAACAATTTTTCTGTAGATCTTTAAAGTCATCTTTAAAGTCATATGAAATGAGAGACTTGTAATTTTAATGTTAAGGAAATTATTTAATCAATACATGCATTTATAATAAACTAAGTCCTCTATGCACGCTTTTGACATTTATTATGAATCTAGAACATATTATTGACAAATAATATTTCATTCAGTGATTGTAAATTGATACGGCATGTTTTAATTTGTTTTTTATATACTCCATGCATTCAAGTTTTGTAAATTCAACTTTTCCATAACAGTTGTTCCATGAATATTTGTATTTAATTTGTTCTTTAAGAATCAATTTTTACTATTCACCTTCCAGTGCACATTTATTTTCTTTCATCACTGTTTTTCCCTCGCACTTGCGCTGTGCGGTAGCCGAAGTTCTAACAAGAGGTCTCAAATTCTCAAATTTAAAGTATCAAATGACTTAAGATATTTTACTTTTATAAAAAAGCAATGCAAAAAAATATATTAGGAAAAATCCAATGAATCAAATACATTTACAATTTAAGAGAAAATAAATGTGGATAGTGTCCACATGTGGACACAGATGATGCCCCCGCTTGCATATCATATAGTTATAAAGGGACATAACTGAAGAACGGTTAAAGTGACGCTACCCAAATTTGAACTTGATCTGAGTTTTGTGGTAATAAGCATTGTGTGTAAGTCTCATAACATTTGGTTGAGGCTAACTAAAGTTAGAGAACGGAAACAAAAAATTCAGCAATTTTTATGTTTATAAAGGGACATAACTCAAGAATGGTAAAAGTGTCACCACCAAATTTTGTACTTAATCTGTATTATGTAGTAATTAGCAATGTGTATAAGTTTCATAACTTTTGGTTGAGGCAAACTAAAGTTATAAAAACGGAAACAAAAAATTTGTACTTGATCTTATTTTTGTGGTAATGAATATTGTGTATAGGTTTCATAATGTTTGGTTGGGGCAAATTGAAGTTACAGAATGGAAACTAAAAATTCTGCTATCTTTCGATTTATAAAGGGGCATAACTCAATAATGATTAAAGTGACACTACCCAAATTCAACTTGATCTGTGTTTTATCAGTGGAAGGCAAAATTAAACATTGCATTGTATAAAGCATTGATTGTAGTTGATTCAACTATAATCATGGACAAAGGAAGATAACTCCAATTTTAATAAAATGCTCCGCAGGGCGCAGCTTGATACGACCGCAGAGGTCGAACCCTGAACAGTTGGGGCAAGTATGGACACAACATTCAAGATTGATACAGCTTTGCATTTGGATTGTGATTAAATATTTGACACAGCATAGGTTTCTGACACAGAATGAATGTGGTTTAAGAACTTAAAAATTTTAAATTGGACATTCACCTATTATGGTCCAATATCCAAAATCTAAATACATGGTTAGATTCAGCATATCAACGAACCCCAAGAATTCAATTTTTGATGAAATCAAACAAAGTTTAATTTTGGACCCTTTTGACCTCAATGTGGACAAAGTTGATAACCGGGCCCAAAAATCAAAAATCTAAATACATGGTTAGATTCAGCAAATCAAAGAACCCCATATATTCAATTTTTGTTGAAATCAAACAAAGTTTAATTTTGGACCCCGATTTGGACCAACTTGAAAACTGGGCCCATAATCAAAAATCTAAATACATGTTTAGATTCAGCATATCAAAGAACCCAAAGAATTCAATTTTTGTTAAAATCAAACTAAGTTTAATTTTGGACCCTTTGGACCTTATTGTAGACCAATTTGAAAACGGAACCAAAAATTAAGAATCTAAATAAGGGTTAGATTCAGCATATCAAAGAACCCCAATAATTCAATTTTTGATGAAATCAAACAAAGTTTAATTTTGGACCCTTTGGACCTCAATGTGGACCAATTTAAAAACGGGGACCAAAATCCAAAAACTAAATACACGGTTAGATTCAGGATATTAAAGAACCCCAAGAATTCAAGAATGAAACCCCATTGAAATTGGTCAAGAAATAAGCGATTTATACAAAGTATCTTCTTTTGCACAATACTGTGCAATTAAATATTTCTTGCTATTGCGCAATACTGTACAATTGACAATTTCTTGCTATTGCGCAATATTGTGCAATTGAAGATTTCTTGCTATTGCGCAATACTGTGCAATTGAAGATTTCTTGCTATTGTGCAATACTGTGCAATTGAAAATTTCTTGCTATTGCACAATACTTATTATATAATAATTTACACATCCTGTTTGGTGTGTATCTCCTACCATATCATTATTATTTGCTTTTAAATATAAATCAGAAATAACCAACTTAAAATGGAAAATTTTAAAAGAAAAAAAAAAGGAAAAAAAAAAAAAAAGGGAAAAAAAAAAATCCTCCCCCTAAATTTTTAGAACCCCCTTATGATTCATCACCCCCAAACTCAATCCCAGCCTTCCCTTTGTGGTATGGTACCTTGCAGTACAATTTCAGAGAGATCCATACACTTGAACACAAGTTATTGTCTGGAAACTAGAAAAATGTGTTTTTGGGCCCCTTTTTGGCCCCAAATTCCTAAACATTTAGGGCAATTACATCCAAACTCAAACCCAGCTTTCCCTTTGTGATATGGAACCTTATAGTACAATTTCAGAAAGATCCATACACTTACACACAAGTTATTGTCCTGAAACTAGAAAAATGCATGTTTTTTGCCCCTTTTTGGCCCCTTATTCCTAAAATATTGAGGCAATTACCCCAATCATCAATCCCAGCCTTCCCTTTGTGGTATGGTACCTTGCAGTACAATTTCAGAGAGATCCATACACTTGAACACAAGTTATTGTCTGGAAACTAGAAAAATGCTTATTTTTGGCCCCTTTTTGGCCCCCAATTCCTAAACCTTTAGGGCAATTACCCCCAAACTCAATTCCAGCTTTCCCTTTGTGATATGGAACCTTGTAGTACAATTTCAGAAAGATCCATACACTTACACACAAGTTATTGTCATGAAACTAGAAAAATGCTTGTTTTTTGCCCCTTTTTTGGCCCCTAATTCCTAAAATTTTGAGGCAATTACCCCCAAAATCAATCCCAGCATTCCTTTTGTGATATGGAACCTTGTGGTACAATGTCAGAGAGATCCATACACTAACACACAAGTTATGTCTGGAAGTTACAAAAATGCTTATTTTTGGCCCCTTTTTGGCCCCTAATTCCTTTACTGTTGGTACCATAACCCCCAAAATCAATCCCAACCTTCCTTTTGTGGTATTGAACCTTGTGGTAAAATTTCATAGAGATCCATTCACTTAAACTAAAGATAGAGTGCGAAAACCAATGTGTCTTCGGACGATGCCGGACGACGACGACGACGTCAACGTCATACCAATATAAGACCACAAAAATTTTTTTGCGGTCGTATAAAAATTACTTGACATTGAGAAGAAAATAAAAATTTAGCAATTTTTCCATTTTTAAAGGGGCATAACTCTAGAACAGTTAAAGTGACGCCACCAAAATTCAAACTTGATCTGTGTTTTGTGGTAATGAGCATTGTGCATAAGTTTCATAATATTTAGTTGAGGCAAACTTAGGTTAGAGAACGGAAACTAAATATTTTGCAATTTTTCCATTTTTAAAGGGGCATAACTCTAGAACAGTTAAAGTGACGCCACCAAAATTTTATCTTGATCTGTGTTTTGTGGTAATTAGCATTGTGTATAAGTTTCATAACATTTAGTTGAGGCAAACTTAGGTTAGAGAACGGAAACTAAATATTTTGCAATTTTTCCATTTATAAAGGGGCATAACTCTGGAACGGTTAAAGTGACGCCACCAAAATTCAAACTTGATCTGTGTTTTATAGTAATAAGCATTGTGTATAAGTTTCATAACATTTGGTTGAGGCAAACTCAAGTTAGAGAACGGAAACCAGTTTTGGGACTTATGATTGTATGTACGTATAACTTCTGGCGGGGCACGTACGTACGTAGAGACGGACAAGGGTAAAACTTAATGCCCCCCCACCGGGGGGGGGGGGGGGGGGGGGGGGGGGGGCATAAAAAGATACATGTAAGAAAAATTTCTGTGTGGTCTAACCAGAATATGTATTCATTACATCAACAAACTTACCTTAGTTATTATGTCAATAAACTTGACTCAGTTATAAAGGTCAGTCGTTTTAAATCATATCCACTCATATCAGATACTTTGACGTATAAGTATCTGGAGAAATATCAAAAAAAATATTTGATCCCGAGTTTTAAGTCTATGTGACATGTAAAAAATCTTTATTTAAGGGGAAACCTTAAACATTTAACAAATTTTTTTTTCTAGATTGTCGGTGGTAGTGTTTTGCAAAATGGGTGATTCATCACTGACTGAAATAGGCTTCTGCAAAAGAATTGATATGGGTCAATGACATGAAGACAGTATAAAATCACCAAATTCATCAAAGATAAAAGACATCCAAAGCATGACTGGCCATCAGTGTACAATTATCAACTTGCTGATCATTTTTGTTAATGAAAGTGTCTATTTATATATATTATCATTTTTATCATATAGGGCAAAACACAAAAAAATAAATGGGGAATGTGTCCATGGGACACAGATGATGCCCCCGCTTGCATATAACGTTATAAAGGGATATAACTCAAGAACCGTAAAAGTGATGCTACCCAAATTTGTACATGATCTGAGTTTTGTGGTAATAAGCATTGTGCATAAGTTTCATAACATTTGGTTGAGGCAAACAAAAGTTAGAGAACAGAAACAAATATTTCAGGAATTTTTCCATTTGTAAGGTGACATAACTCTGGAACGGTAAAAGTGACGCCACCAAAATTCAAACATGATCTGTGTTTTGTGGTAATAAGCATTGTGTATAAGTTGCATAACATTTG